ATGTTTTGTGTTTATTTTTCAAGGGGGTAAAAGGTGGTTAGATACACCTGGTTTGGAGTTCAAACTGTATGTAGAAATATCAGTATTTTACTTTAGGTGTGACGGTAATTCTGAAATGCCCAAGCAATCAGAGTGCTGTCAGCATCCCTTGGCTGAACACGGTTGGTTCATACTTCACTCATGTTCACATGTATCATGCTGACCAGAATCAGCAGTACTGTTTCTCAACTAAATTTGATCACATGACATTTCAGCATTCCACTAGTCTGTAACCACGTTGCTGTATAAACAGACCACTGCTAGGATCACTATCTCTGTTCTGTTATGGCAAAAACTATTAACTGCAATTGATATATCTTATGAAATCTTTGCTGCTTAGGAAAGATGAACAGAGACAAGATGTTTATTGTGAACAAAAAAGGATTCAACTCAATTGTCAGGAAGGTATTTTTCAAATCTTCTAGATCAAGACTGTGGATTTCAATGCTCACTCGGTTGTTGAAGAGATTGGCAGGCTACTTACTTGTAATGAATTTCATATATAGACTCAAATCATAAAGCTGTCCAAGGTCTTTACAACCTAGTTCATGCGGTTTATTTAAATTTAAGTGTAACTGGGCTGTGTTTTGAGGCACATATGTCAATAACTAATCTAATCTCAAAGAACAGCTATAAACAACACTGTTAAATATACACCACAATAATATCCCTCAACATTTAACGTCCCTCATCACTGTCAAGAAAGACTGAGCTTGGTGCTTCACAGATGACTTTGTTTAGCCTGTCTCACTTTAAACTCAGCTGACTACAATTTGGAGAAAATGCAGTGTTTTATCCTCCTCCCCTCACCTCTCTCTCTCTCTCTCACGCACTCCCCTTCTTGTGGCTCATTAATCAATGACAGATTATCAGGAAAGTGACACCTTCATGATTACAACGTTTCTGGGGAAGTTTTTAATATGAGTTTAGTTGGAAAGGAGATGCAAATTAACGGTCTTACTTCAGAGTGCAACACAGTTATTATTCAGATTACAGTAGGTTGGGGTTAATTTGATATGGCAAAAACTGAAACTTGAATGCATAACTAAATACACATAGCCTAACTAAGTGACCATAAAACATCAAGTCTGTTTTAGATTTACATGTACAAAAGAAGTTCTTCATGGTTGTATTTAAGACTGCAAAGATGAAATGTGTTACAGTCACAATTGCCCCATTAGTGAATATAATTCGAGTGAAGCAGTTGATTTATGCTACTCATCAATATGATGGATGCTCCTGCATTAGATCACCGCTGAACACTGCTATCTGTCTTAATCTATACAGTAAAATCACTCATTAATCTAGATAACTAATAACTGATAATACCTTGCTGGATCATGTTTCATTTTATAAACAAAAAAAGATGTTATCAGGCCCTGAAGCGTATAGTACCTTTGTCCTGAACTAGCACCCTATCCCTCACTTGCTCCACTTTAAACGCAGTGCATCCCTGCTTCCCCACATCTGTCCAAGGAAAAAAAGAAGCTTCTCTTTTAATCTTTAAACGCTAAACAAGCATGAACTCCTGCCGTCGCCTTCATTTTCCGTCTAAAAGCATATACTTGCGCGCCTAAATATTTTATTATAGGCGCCCGATAACACTGGGCAACGCAGTGGATAATGAAAAGGTATTTACACCGAGGGGAGGAGGGAGGGGATGAGGGCAATGTAGTTTCGTGAATGTGTCTATCAGATTTTTACTCGGTCCCCAGCCTAATTCCATACACACACAAGGGTGGAGGACCATGCGAATGGCAATAAAGAAAAATAGCTGAGTGGCCCTGATTATAGAAAATCTAACTGAATACACACTTCTGTGTGTGAGCGCGCGTTTATGTGCCAGGTGCGCTCCCACCGTCTCCAAAACTAAGGCATCAACACTTTCCTCTCCTCCGTCCACTGTGTGTGATGTTGAAAATTCACATTTCACATTTACCCCAATGAATTTAAAAAAGACAAAGTTTAAATTAATATTAAATTAATAAGACAAATTGTGTGTGTGTGTGTGTGTGTGTGTGTGTTGGGGGGGGGGGGGGGGGTGTAAGTGAGTGTACGGTTGAGCGGTTCAGGCGGGTTGTTAATGTTAAGGTGGCATTAGAGTTAATGCAAATTAAAAAGCGCTAGCTGATCCCTTTGACCCCCACCCACCCACACGCGCGCGCACGCACGCACGCACGCACACACACATACATACACACACACACACACACAGTGTTAATGCAGTCATTTGCTTGGAGGTACTAACCCCCTATAATTCAATTTGTCAAAATGAATGAGAGAACAGACAGCCCCGCCCTCCTACACCGTCGCACCTTCCTTCCCAAAACAAAACAGGAAAAAAAGCAAGACGAAAGTTATACTTAACCAAAGCACAAGCCACTCCTTCTTTATAGCTGTTTATTACTTCTTTCATCAGTAAATGAAAGCGAGCAATTATTGCAAAGGTACCGGTATCATATTATTATGTTGGCCCCGGTCCCCTAGATATTCATCAATCACTCTCAATCGACCTGTCACCGGCAGGCAGAGATCCAGCTGTACAGGGGGGGGATGGGGTACATCATCATTAATTTGAGGAGTGACCCCCGGGGCTATCCACATGTCTCAACCCGGGATTCTCCAAGCAAGGCAGCGCGCACTGGCGCCGATGCTGTGGCCACAGCCACTTTTGGGCTTTTGGCTGTTTTGGTTAACTGCAGTTTCCCAATATGACCTGACCAAAACACACGTGCAAGAGAGAAGGGAGGGAGAGGTCCATGATCAGTTGTAAGATACAAATCTTACAACTGATCAACTGTGTCACCAAAATAGATTGAGATAGATAGATAGATAGATAGATAGATAGATAGATAGATAGATAGATAGATAGATAGATAGATAGATAGATAGATTCTTATTCGTTTTATCGATCGAGACAGAAGAAAGATGTTTTTAAACTTAATCAAATTTTATTGTGATCACATTCACATCTGAATGTGTGTGTAAAGTTCATGTGGAGAAGTTCATTCAAACTACATCCTAATAAGCCCTTTTTGGGATAATTACAACACTCTGGGGACTCGTTGCTCAAGGTGGAATTGAAGCATAATATGAAACTAAAAGCTGATCTTTTTTAAGAAGGTTATTATTAAAATAAATAAATAGCAATTGTTAATTTTTTTGTGAATGTATTGGTTCAATCTACTGGCGGCAAGAGGTTTCTCTGCTCAGTATGAAAATATTCTTTACTAATTAATTTAAAATCAATTAGTTCCCCATGTGATTAGCATCAGTGTGGAGGAATGATAAGAATGCTCTTAATTAGGCCTAATGCATTTAAACTGATACATACGTTTGCATATTCAAGACACTAATTGGCCTAATTGATTGATTGGGACTGCAAATTAATCTGCAGGACAGTCTATTTTTCTTTTTCTTTTTTTTTAAGTAGGCCTACTCCTTCTGTTATTTCCTCTCAAAGATTGTCTCGGATTGTTCTTTCTGTTTTTTATGGTCGTCATCCTGTGAAAGGAAAAAAAATGCATATTATAGTTACAGTCTGGTCATTTTTAGAGTGGGAAACTTCTGACGTCAGAGTCCCCGCCGTTTAAAACAACCTGCCTCTGCTGCTGACGTCTTTTATACTACTTTTTATAAGGCAAAAATATGTACCTGACAACAAAGTGATTATTCTCGGCAAAGAAAGTCTGTATCACCTTAAGTCATTGATCTATTTCTACTAGACTTTTAAAAAGAAAGGGGGAGCTAGCATATTTTCTTCCTAAGTTTTTTTAATTTATTTATTTTCGTTGAAAGGCGGTTTGAGTCTGGGACATTTTACACAAATTAAACATGCTACTCTGCTTCGCCCTATAAGCATCCTAGGAGCCTGAGCTTACCAATCAATTGGTATAGTCAAAGAGAGCCGCAGCTGGCGTTAGAGTGGAGACCTCCAGTCTCGCTTTATTTCTGGATATTGGGGGACCTCTCTACCATGTCATATCCACAATTTGGATATCCCTATTCGTCTGCTCCACAAGTAAGTTCTTGTAACTACCTTTGTTCATTTAATAGGTTATTTTGGTTTTGATTTTGCAGCGATTGATTACCTCAACGATTTAGCGATCCTTTTAGCATTTTTGGCCAAGAATCTGAAGAAGCTGTCACAGTCCTCTCGGGTGATCGGAAAGGTTTTGCGTTACAGCCAGTGATAGCCTACCTGTTTTCCTGCAGCGAGAGAAAAGGGGGTAAGAAGAGGGTAACCAAAAAAACAGCAAGACCCCCGACCTCCCGCTCTCTGATTTCTGCAAGATAATAGCCGCTCTGTAATGTCAACCATATGTTTATCTGTGCAGGAACACACATGCCAACTTGTTCTGCACACGCGTGTGTGTTTTGCGCCGGAACCCAGCTGCTGTTTAGTTTTGGCTTTGAGCCATAAAAAATAATTTAGGCATTGTGTCGGGTATTACTGGGCAACGTTGGAAGAACATGTATCTTTTTGTAAGGCGTGTGTTTCATTTGGATCAGAGCTGATACACGGCTCGTTTCGGGTCGTTTCAGACATGCACATTACCACAAGAATATGACACAGCATTCATCATCAAATATCAGTCTTTACCAGGCCCTTGATTTTGTATTTTTAGTTGACTTTCTGAAAAGAAAATGCAAATAAGGGTGGGTTTACTTAGTAGGCTAGGTCATTTCCAAAGAAGCAAATCGCTTGTCAAAAAACATAGGCTACTTAAATCATGTTTAATTTTGCTGCCAGAGAGATGAAACTGTATTGGAAACATGTAGGAGGGTTTTCATTTCACTGAGACGATTTTTTATTCTACTTTTTTTTTTTTTTTGAAGTTCGAAAGCAACTTCGAGATCAAAGTGCTCAAGATTAACATTAAGTTGCAAAATGCAGAATAAAGCATAACAATAACTTTTTAAAAGATACATTCTCTCTCTCGGTCTCCACCCAGTTCCTGATGACAACCAACTCTCTGACCACTTGCTGCGAGTCCACCGGCAGATCCATCGCCGACTCCGGAGTTGCGGCGTCCGGGCAGACACCAGTCTACTGTCCCGTGTACGAGAGTCGGTTGCTGGCCACGGCTAGGCATGAGCTCAGCTCAGCCGCAGCGCTGGGCGTGTACGGGAGCCCCTACACCGGCGGACAAGGCTATGGGAATTACGTTACATATGGCACGGACGCCTCGGCTTTCTACTCGCTGGTAAGCCCCTCATCTGATCCCTCTTGTCATTGATTAATGGAGCCGCAGGGTGATACTTGAGCCAGGCGCACCACTCTTCTTTTCTATGCTCTACACCGCAAAATACCTGACATTTACTATACTGTGATTTATCGTCACATCATCCTTCAAGCCAACTCTTCTTTAGTAATTAAAAAATACTTCTCAGCAAGACTAGATTGGCTCACTTTCTTGACTTAGAGGCTGCCTTGAGACAAATCATTTTTATGAAAGAAATTAAATCGTTCCATTCATATTCACATTGGTTAAGGACTCTGACTTTGAAGTCTCAACATTTATATATTATATATTATTGTCAAAATGTTATTAAAAATAATTTATCTCATAAGAGACCCCAGTAGTAATGCATGGGCCTTTTAAAGTCCAAGAATGATTTTTGTTCAGGTTGGTTTAGCGTTGAAATACATTAAGTGCTAACATTGTCTGGTATAAATTGTGGTGAGACTAATATTTGAAATAGCTATATTCTTTTCTAATATATGATTTGTTCAGATTATAATTAAGAGACCCTCCTGGAACCCTCTCACAAATTTATTTGCACAGATCCCTGCAGTGAACAAGCTTAGAAATCAACTGTTACATATTGTTTATCAGAAGTTATATTTTGGAAAGACATGCATTGAAAATCGTGGTTTTAAAAAGTTCTGTAATTTCAGTATCCACATAACCATCAGCAACCATGGACAATGTATGATTTTAATAGTTAGTATGACTTTTCCATGTTTCACTTTGCAGCCATTATCCTCTTCAATATCCCTAATGAATTGCATATATAGCCAATATAAATTTGTTTTATGTATATACTTTTTCAGCACCATGTGAGTCATTTAATGTCCCAAAATTGAGTTCCTCTCTGGGTCCTCTTCAAAACTCTTGTCTTTGTGTATGATTGCAGGGCACATTTGATACTAAAGATGCCACAGCTTCTGCCCATGCGGGGATAACCCAGGCAACAGCCTACTACCCTTATGATCCTACCTTGGGACAGTACCAGTATGACAGGTATGTTGCTTCTATGACAATGTGACTTCTGCTGAATTTTATGTTTATATGGTCTCTTTGTTTAATGCAAAGTGGCACAGGATGGAAAACTGTTATATCCAGTTAGAAATCCACTAGACCTCATCTTGAGCTGCTCAGCCCACTGTCACACTGGTGTGCAGGCGTATGGCAGATGCTTTATGCAGCTAAAACAGGAAGTAAATCTCAAACTATTGTACACTAGTGTAGGGAGAGTTTTCCCACCATCAATGCAGTCATTCCTTAGAGGTCAAGGCCATTTTCATCACGTCAAGCAACACTGGGTGATCAACTTCATTTCATGACACATTTCTTTCCTGATGAGGCGATGTGCTCCAGAAGACTCATGGGCCTTTCAGGAAGGCATGAGGCCTCGTCAGTGTTGTGAAGAGAGTGTCTGCCATACTGAAAGGTCTTCCCAATAATGAGATGACATCTAAATGCACTCTGTGACGTGGTGAAATGAGAATGACAACTACATCTTATTATGTCAACTGTGATCAAACCGCTCTTTGAATAGAACCAGCAACAGGACAACATAGGATAGTACAGAAAACACTCTTTGTTTTTATTGTGTTGGGCATTAACTGATCAGCAAAGTGTCATATTGATTAGCTTTATTGCAAAATGAGAGTTCATATAACCCAAAACCCAAGAGCTGACTTCTTTTAACCAATTGCTCTAATTTCAGTTAAGTGCAAAAGGTGTCAGGAGGAATGCTAATAAGTGCAGCAAAAGGCCTAAGTCGAAGGCAAACAGAATTAGTGGCACTCAGAAAAACAAGCAGGCCTACTGTCGTACCACTCTGCGCCTGTCTTTTACCTGAGGGCCCATCATTACACTCAATAAAGCAATTTTACAGTCTATTTTATCTGTGAGGGAGCAACACAGGGCATGGTAAGGTGCAGCGCTCACCTCCTTTTGATTCCCTTAGCAGTGCTTGACCTGCAGTAAGCTATACCAAGCAATAAAGGCCTCATAAAAGCCTCCCCTGAGAGGATTTTTACAGCTCACAGCTGACTGAAAATCAACACTGCATTTTAAATGTAGGCAGATATTTGTGGGAGAGGAAAGGGTATGGAGGGAGTCGTATGCTGCGCTAAGAATGGTTTTAAATAGGTCATACATTGATATTGGAAAATATATATATACATGAAGTCCAAATACACTTGACAATAGTACTTGTAAAACATTTAACATGGTAGAATTTGCATATTTCAAAAAAATACTGATAGCAGATTTACATTGGATTCCAGCATAGGGGCTGCAGAGGCTATGTACTTTCTATCTTGTACAGTATTCTGCACATGGTCCTAGCAAGTCAAATATAATTATATAAAACAATGTACTGACAGTTTTCATTTTACAGTTTACCAAGGGCCAGATAATACACTCTGTATGGTGTGTTTCAAGGGTGGTGGTTTACTTTTTACCTGCACCTCCCTTGTACTTTCTAAACAATGTCTCTTAATAGACATTTATATGTGATGTCTAGCTTTACTTTTCAGATATTTCCACAATTATAGCAGCAGATAGGTTTATGAGTGGGGCTGCCAGGGTTATAAAGCATGTTATGCATAATTTCAAGAAGATACCAAGAAGCAGATGGCTCTGTCATGGAAACCGCCAGGGCAACACATTCCAAATTGCCATGCAACAAGCGTCACATATTATGTTTACCCTCTCATTACCACTGTGGTTGTGTTCTTCTCATTAACAGATACGGTTCCATGGATGGGGGAACGAGGCGGAAGAACGCCACACGCGAGACAACCAGCACGCTGAAGGCCTGGCTGCAGGAGCACAGGAAGAACCCGTATCCCACTAAAGGAGAGAAGATCATGCTGGCCATCATCACCAAGATGACCCTGACGCAGGTCTCCACCTGGTTCGCAAATGCCAGGAGGAGGCTCAAGAAGGAGAACAAGATGACATGGCCACCTAGAAACAAGGGCTCAGAGGAGAAGAGATATGACGAAGATGAAGATGGGTCTCAGGAGGAGCAGATAAAGAGCGAGAACAATGAGGATGGTTAGTGTCACAATGCCTCGATGCTCTGTGGAAATAAAGATCAACTTTAGCGTTATGCTGAATTGTTTGGCAGTATATTGTAATATTGATAGTGTATTCATGACATCTCTTAAAAATCCATTGTTATGTTGGGTTGTTATGTTGTACAGTGGGGCGTTTCTGTTTGGGAATAGAAACATTCGTCAACTAAAGTGTTTGAAATGAGAGCATGTGTAAATAGCCGGTTTTAGCAACTGTTTCTTATTTCATTACTCTCGCAGTCACTCACTTGGATGGATCAGGATATTAATTAGGGTAGAACAACTTTCAACCACACTCCTGTGCAAAGTTCACTGCTACCATGCATCTAATGAAACTTAAATCTATTTACTTTTCACATGACACATCATAAAGTGGGACGGTGTTACCACACTGGCATTTTTTTCTTTTCTTTCAAAAATGTCAAGTAGAATAAGATCTGATAAAATCTACTCATCAGCGTAAGGTATTTGATGTGCTAAAGTGCCATCAGTCTTGCATCATAGTTTTATATTTGAATGTGTAATTTTACCAGGAATATTATTAATGTGATAATATTAGTATTGTTCAAACTGTATCACACTGAGAGGAAACAAGGGACAGTCAGGCCTTCCAATTTGTTTAGTTTAACATTTTGTCCTTCAAAAATGCACTGTGCTGAAATCACTTTATTTATTTGTATTTTTTAAAAATGTAACTTGTCAACAACACCAGCAGGACTCTGGTCCTCATAAGAACTTTTAAGCTATGTAATACAATTAAACAGGCCTCTGTCAGTTCCACATAGGGATATGGTGGAAGTGAAAGCAAGTTTAGATATCTTTTTAATTACTGAGCTGATCATAATTTAATATTTCTGATAGGCCAAAATGCATTTAGTTAATAATTAGTTAATAAATTAGTATATCAAACTGTCTATCTAAACTGTATATCTAAACTTTATACTGGGTCAATATTGACGTATGCCTTTTTTTTTCTCATGATAGTAAGAGGCTGGATATGTATTCACCACAATCTAGCTGCAAACATTAATTCCTTCTTTAAAGTCGAACAACTGTACTTTTAAAAATTGTGATTGAAAGTTAAATACTTTATTTGAGAGAGACTGATCAGGATGCCTTAATCAGATCGAATCATGTGACACAGTATCTTTCACTGAAGTGTCTGATGTCTCCTCTCTGCTCTCTTTCTCCCAGAGACCAGGAGTCGGGCTGATAAGGACCTCCAGTTGAGCGATCTGGACGATTTCGACACGCTGGAGTCTGAGAGCTCTGAGTGTGAGTTGAAGCACCGATACCACATGAACACACACATGTCAACAACGGGCGACTGCCCCACCGAGCACCTCATCAAGGACGCGTCTCTGAAAATTCCCATCCCTGTTTCTCTGGGAGGGGAGCAGGACTTGAGCAAAGGTTGTCTCAAAACGAGCCCGGAGGATTTCCAACTGGACAGCAGACAGCAGGTGAAAGCATGCTATAACCAGCAACAACAACAGCACCAGATAGTAGACGGCAAACCGCGGATCTGGTCTTTGGCCCAAACTGCGACGTCCCTCAACCAGACTGAGTACCCGTCCTGTATGCTGAGGTGCCAGCCGCCGCCCTCCTCCCTCACCCCATCCCCCGCCGCTACCTCACCCGTGACCGGCCTGGACAACAGGCAGGACTCGCCGGTCACGACCCTGAGAAACTGGGTGGACGGGGTTTTCCACGACCCCTTGTTCAGGCACAGCACATTGAGCCAGGCTCTGACCAACACCACCGTCTCTTGGACCACGAACGCCAAAGGCGCCATTCTGGAGGCTGAGAGGAGCACGGCAGCCTTGCAGCAGCACCAAGACTCCTCCAAAGACAGTGACATGAGTTTCCCAAAAACTATCAACAAACTCTTCTGTTCCTAACAAAACCAAATGACCCTTTTATTGCGAAAAGAGAGAGACTTTTTGTGACTGACTGAAAGTCGGATGGAAAAGCTTATTTCGTCTCTATGATTCCCTCATTATGTTTTATTCGTTTGAGGAAAAAGCAGTGTTAGCTATATACTGTTACATTGGCGTTACACTAGTGACATGTCCGATTGGCTGAGCATATTTCATTTAACGCACGCACAAAACATATCGAAACGTATAACTAAAAGTTTACATATTGGGAAAAAATGGGCCTAAGGTTTACATGTTTTTTCTTTTTTTTTCTTTTTTTTATTTACTACGTGCATGCAAATGTAATTGAATTTAGGTTTCAGAAGTTGAGCATCACTATTAAAAGAAAAAAAGTCTCACAAATGCACAGCTCTCTTTGGAAGTGGATGAGAGCGTCTCAACTTTGTTCACTGAAAATAAAAGCAGTCGGTTTCTGAACAGCGCCTGTGATGTTGGGTTAATAGTGCGAGTTGCTGTCCATGGTGCTGAAATAAGGGTGGGGGGGTGGAGGACTACCTCGGCCTTGCTATTCTTCCCTGATCTGGTTTTGCATGTTTTTCTTTCATGGAAAAAAAAATCGAGTCATTTACAACTAGGACACATGAGGCCCTGCACGCCTGAACAGAGAGGGCCATTTTTAACGCAATCTACCCCATTCCAGTCCATTCTCAACCCATTAAAACATGCGCAATCTAACATCTACCATGTGTTATTTTTCAGAAAACATCGACTCTTATTCAGTGACAGCCAGAAAATGAGGCAGCTCAACCCTCAAGACAGAGCAATATCAGTATCTAAGATCTGCCTCATTAATTCCCTCTAAACAGGGTGTAATTGGGATGTCCGCAGTCATATTTCATGTCAGGCTATTGATTCTCTGCTCTCTGATAATATTATCGAAACATCTCAACATCGCCTATGATGCAGCTGTCAAAAGGGTAAGTTATTCGCCATACGTCCATTAATGGGTTCAAAACGTAGGCCCTGGGAAATAATCTGAAGTGAGGAGTTTTCGTTTTGACACTAACCCCTCAATTTCATAGAGACGGGGCCCTACAGAAAACATCCGGGATGCTGATTCCTCCCCCTGAAAAGTGAAAGGGCTTGGCGAGAGAGGCACTCACGTCGTCTAAAAGTGAAAAGGGCAAAGGAACTCGAATTAGTTGTTGTAGATAAAAGGGCAAAAAGAAAGGAGTCAAGGGTACTTGACAGTAATGGCGAAAGTGGAGCTCTCGGGGGACTCTGTCTGTCCTGTGAGAGGGGAAAGGGGAAGGGAGGGGGGGCTTCAGTGATGAATTTTAATGGGAAAAGCACATCTCTCCCCCTCTTGGAAGAAAGTGCAATGGTGGACAAAAGGGATTTTCTATAAATCGGAGTCAGGGTGTATGTTTCTATTTGCTTTATAGCTCGGAAACCTTGCCTGCAGCATTTCTAAAGCAAAGTTGACATGACCGCAAAATAAAGAAGACATAAAAAAGAGGAAAGACATAAATATTGTCAGAGAAGAGATATCTGACAGGTGCACGGTTAATAGGTACTCGTTTTTATTTATACGGGGTTGTTTTGTTTTTTTTTTTTACACAATTTCCTTAATGTAGGCATGTCAGCTGTTATAAGCCTACATGTAAAAATATGTATTTAATTTTTCATGGCTACTGATAGAAAAATCAGGCCAGAGTTTAAGTCCCCACAGATAAGACAATATAGCCTCGACGTTTAATTAATTTAGCATGAAGACAGATTTTATTGGACCTCCGATCCAAGCGGCTTTTTATCTGAGAGAAAGAGACACGAAGTAAGACGGGGGGGGGGGGCGACACAGAGAGAGAGAGAGAAGCCAGCTATAACTAAATCATTCAGCCGTGGCAAATGCGAACACACAGAGGGAGCGAGATGGTAAATTAACAGGAGCTTTTTACATAGAGACCAAATAAAACTGTAATCAGCGACGCGTTACTTTTCATTAAGCGGGTTTGACAGGAGCATATTCAGCCACTCCGACACAGGAGCAGGGTCCAGGCTGAAATAAACTGCTCTCAACCCAAGAGTCATAAGATAATTCCTTAAGCTCCATTAACAACTCTTAGCCGCAGGAAATGGGCTCCCCCTGAAAACATCTCCAAATCTAAAAGCTTTATCGACCTGGCAAACCTCAGCTGATGGCTTCTCTCTTTTTTTTACCCCACTCCCCTCCCCTTCACACCCTCACCTCTCTCTTTCTCACTCTCTCTCCCTCACCCCTCCCATTCTATTTTTTCAACTTAAGGGACAGAAACGTCCAACTGAGGTAATAGACTCTGACACAACACATTAAATGGGAAATGAGAAAAGGAGACAAAAGGGCACCCTTAAACGCCTTTTAAACGTTACCAATTAGAGGTTTAAAACTTGAATAAGATGAAGGCCTTTGGCATATGCCTGACTGATGGGACATTTAACTGGATAACTTCCTGGCTTGGTTAAAAGCAGCATGTTAGTGAGCGCAGTATGTAGTCCTCCTGTGAGGTTGCCAAGTCAAGGGATTTATACACAGCTTTATACCTTTCTGAATAAAACCTCCACCATGTCATGTGCAACATGATTGTCTCCAGATAAGTATTTTTTTTAACCCCACATCGGTTAAAATAATATCCTAAAAGTTATGGAACCTTTTAGTACTTCTGCCTTCCTTCCTCACCTTTTTTGCTTTTAAATAGCACCTTGTCAAAAACACATGCTCTGTTTGTAGTGGTAGAAGAAGGCCCACAAAGCTGACTGAACACACAACAATCTGAAGCAGCTTCCCCAGAGAGAGAGAGAGAGAATGGGTCAGGTTAACTCCACTGTGACCCTGAGCCATAAATATATTTACACATCATTACACATCAACATACACACACTCAAACTCACACAGATGCACAGAATCACGTTCAAATGCTTGCGCATAACATACACACACACACACACACACACACACATCAGACTTACTTGAATATTTAATATATTCGTTCACTAACATTAATATGGCGAGAATAGCAGTAATGTGATTAAAGCTTAAATGAAAATATGAAGCATGACCTCACACAAAAGAGCAGTGTAGAGGGACCACACACACACACACACACACAGAAGCAGAAAGCACAATGGTGTTATGGCTGATGCTAATGCTGAACATCCCTTTCAAGAATCAATGGAATGGCCTTTTATTCCAATTAAAATGAAGTGCATTGTTAACAGAAAATATAAATTCACAGCTACAATAAGCAAAATAGCCTGTAGGTGTGGAATGATATCATTTCAAATACATGCTTTTCACCCCCCAGAGGATTACATTACATCTAAATGTCAGTTAATGTGAATGCTTGGCATGGCTGATCTTAGCAAATGAACATATTGATATAATACAGAATAATACACCAAGTCGATAAGTAGAGGAGTTCGTAGAGGCAAGTAGAGAAGACCAAAATAGAACACTCTACACACAGAGAAGTTAAAATTTCCAGTTGAGTTCCATATTTTTGAGATGAAAGTTGCATCGGTCTCATCATCATTCACCAGCCACCAGGATGGCCCTCCACAGCTGTCAGGTTGAGGTGTAGAATATTTACCCATCTACTTTAAAATATGAAGTGCCTCCTCTTATTCTTCCTCCACTGCTTGGAGATGGCCATGGTGTGTGTGTGTGTGTGTATGTGTGTGTGTGTGTTTGACCACAAGTGTGAATTTGTGGCTGTGTTCAGAGCCCTGCTGCCAAAAGGACATGTCCAGGGTGTGCCTTTAGGCCCCAGTGACTGGCTTCTATCAGGCCTCTATCATCACCTCCCTGGAGTGGTTCCACAGGTCAAGAGGTTTTAGCCTGAGGGGCATCGCTTTTCACTGTCTTAGCCGTCTCAGTCGGACTGACAGAACTTTTCGGGTGTATGTTACGGATAAAAAAACGGCACCTAAATCAAGTACTATTTTTTTTTTATTACAAACATGTTACAAGGTGTCTTCGCAACTAGGGAATATAAAATAAATCACCATAAACTTTGGCATACTTCATACCTCACTATGCTTACAAGTGGTTGCGCCCCCCCCCCCCCCCCCCCCCCCCCACAAAAAAAAAGGCCTGGATTGTAATCTCACATGCTCTTAAAGTCAGGGGAAAGGTTAAAAGGGTCTCATTATGGGTCATCACAACACACTTAAACTCTGTCAACCAACTTTGACTCAGTTACGCTCCCCACCAGATAACTGAGATTCAGTAAGCAGGGATCCAAGTTGTTTGCTGTCTGTTTATTATAAGGATGAATTGTGATCTGTATTTCTAGTCTGCTATATTCCCAGTATTTCTCAATTTCATGAGACATCTAATATTACAGTAGTAGTGCACTCCTTTCTAAAACTGAGGATATTCAGGCAGCTTGATGCAATTTAATGGAGAAAACAACCAATATTCCCACAGATGCTTATGTCTCATTATGGTGTTTGATGCACATGTACACTTAATATTTCTAATGGACATGTTGGATGAAACACCAAAAGGAAATAAAAGTTAAAAAATACATATTCATATGTACTCGGCGATAAGGTGTTCCCATGTGGTTGAAGCAGTGATGCTAAGTCAAATCTTATTGCCCTAAGAGTTACTTGTGGATCAGATGTACGCATGCCACAGCATCTTGTAGTCGTAATGTGTTCACTGTGATTACATTGTGAAGAGCTGCATCTGTGGAATTTTGTGATGTTATGTAAGCCAGTTGTAGTTGAGTTGGTATAGTTACACACAAAAAGGAAAAACAAAGAAAATGAGTTGGACATTGTTTTTTCATCTACAGTACTGCTAAAGCCATGTAGAAGTAATTGCTAAAGGTCAAAAGAGACTGTGTTTTACCAACACATTTGTGTTTATCATTCAGGACAGATCAATACAATATTGTTGTTTTAAAGAACAAAAGCCAGGGGAGACTTAACACTGACCTTTGCTTCTATTTCCCATTGTGTTCAAGAGGTCCACCAAAACATACAAATGAGGCCCTCAGGTTTCTCTGGATATAAAAGCTTTTTTAAAGTGCTTGCTGGGTGTTTAACTGTGAAAGGTATTGTATACTTTTTCGTTCAATAAATCTCCTTTAAAAAATCACTTAGAAGAGAAATCTTACACAGCCTTTTGTCCGTTGTCCTGGCTGTTGTTATTTAGACTGCCATAAGAGACAGAAATGTATACTTGAAGTTTAACTGAAACTTTAATCCTCCAAAAGTCTATATAATAGGTTATTATCAACCTGATGTTTCCTTTACTGGACACCATCACTGTGCACCTCTGTAGGAACTCAGTTACAGTAATGTGCAACTTGGAGCAATAGCATTATCAACTTGTTATTTCACAATACTCATCTTTTCTTTATTGATACAATTTGCACACTGGCCTCACAGTATTCTGTGCAACCCTGTCTCCTGGAAATGGCATTTATATA